TTATTTCTAAGGAATATTCTAGTACTTGTGTAAAATGTAATTCACTGTCATTATTTATATAGTGACAACCTTTTGCAGTTATACAAAAACTATTTGAAAACAAAAGGTGAAATGCTACAGTATGTATTGTCGCAATGTGTGCCAGCACTTTGCATAATGTTATATAATATAATTATTCAATCAATTTAAAATATGTACTGTAGAAGGCATTTATTTATTTGTGTATTTAACAGAGACCATATAGGTAAACATAGTTACATACAGATAAATACAGACAGATAATGTGTGTAGGGTGTCTAGCTGAAGCTAATGTGCAGCCAACGTCCCTGGTTAGTCTTTTAAATCTCAGTATAAAAACAACAGGACATAAAAACGGACTGTGTACGTGTATATGCATATGTCTGTGTGTGATATATGGAACATGACTGTGTAAACATTGACATATAGGTGTGATTTAAGCAGATATTTGACAGGTGAATCAAACAATCCAATCAGAAGTTGTTTATGTCGACTGTTTAATTGGAAGTGACTGTAACTAAGAGCATCAGCTACAAAAATAGCTGAAACATCAAAATGTAAATAGATCGCACAGTTTAATAGATCATATTGTGATTGGTTTATTCAACAGACAGGGATGTAACTGTGGAATAGCAATAACATGGTGTGTTTTGGCTTGATGTATTGAAAGTGAAGGCGTCATCCACAATATCACATCCTGGGTTGATTTATAGATCGGTGATGAGATTGTGCGCATCAATGGATACTCAATCTCCTCCTGCATCCACGAGGAGGTCATCAGTCTCATCAAGACGAAGAAGATTGTGTCACTCAAAGTCAGGCGTACGTCAAACACAAACTCATTTTACAACAACGGTAGCATGATTCATGTGCGTGAAACTAATTTGACTGTATTTCTTTTTTTATCTGTGCAGATGTGGGGATGATCCCAGTGAAAAGGTAAGATAATTAACATGCTGCTGTTTGACTGGTGAAATGGGGACTGATGTGCAGAGGTCACTGTGTTCTTATTTGCTTTTACTCATTGCTCCAGCTCATCTGATGAACCCCTAAAGTGGCAGTTTGTCGACCAGTATGTGTCTGAGTCAGGGGTAAGAGGCAGATATACTCTTTTCTTCATGGCGATTTCCAATTTTAAAAGTTTTATCACATCAGTGGACAGCGTATGGACTTCATTCTTTATTCTTTCTGCTACACCTCAGGAGAAAAAAAACAGCATTGCAGGCTTGGCATCGATTGGAGGCAAAGAAATCAAGGAGAAGAAGGTCTTCCTCAGCCTCGTGGGTACCAAGGGTATGGGCATCAGCATCTCCAGTGGTCCAACCCAGAAACCTGGCATCTACATCAGTAACGTCAAGCCAGGCTCTCTTTCTGCAGAAGTTGGACTTGAGGTGATTGCTCAAAAATGACCAGAAACACCTCTAAAAAACTCTTAGACTCACATACCTGGCTGCTGTGAACTGTGAACATCTATGTCTTATCCCAAAATGTAGATTGGAGACCAGATTGTGGAGGTGAACGGGGTGGATTTCACCAACGCGGACCATAAGGAGGTGAATTTTGCAAAATTAAAAGATTTGTCCACTTGCAATAATGGCAGATGAAGTCCAATGTTTATTAAGTAGTGACTTTTAATATGATGTACTATAGATATACAGTTTTGTACTCTTTTTTCCAAATCCCCCACAACACCATGAGGGCATCTGTTTAGACTGAGCGTGTGATGCCAGTAGAGGCTAAAACCCTGTATCAGTGGCAGTGTTTGATCTACACTTAACTCAGTGAGATGCAGAACCCCAGCCAAAATGGCTTTGCAATCGAAAAAATCCATCATGGATTGTTGGTTATTTGCAAAAGTGGCTGATGGAGATAACAAAGCCTGCAGTATTTACCAGGAGTTGGTGATAATTTCACAGCCTGATAAATACACATAACACAGGCCATGGAGCGCTGTTAATGTGTTACCTTGACTTTTATTCATTGAATATTAAAAATTACTGAAATACTAAAAAAACCTTTAAAATGAATGGCATTACCTAAAATGTTCTGTTGTTATATTCCCAGGCTGTGAGAGCCTTGAAGAGCAGCAGGAGTCTGACTATTACCGTTCTGACAGGAGCTGTAAGTACAATAACTGTTATGTTAATAAAATAATAATTTATAGCGTTCTCTTTTGCTGCTCAACTCATAACTTTAGTTTTTTTTTCTCATTTCTCAAATCTTGTAAATATTGTTGAATTCCCTCGAAGACACAACATATAACACCCCTGAGTTCAAGATATATGATTACATCTGCATATGAAACACTCAGCCCTTTAAACTTTAATTAATATTCCTTGATAAAAACCATCTGTTATGGATGTGGGAACACAAACTTCTGCCTTCTCCCTTTTGCATTCCTGCACCACACAGACTAATGTGCCATATTGGTTTGGAGACATCACATTACCTAGCCTGTTCCTCAGCGCCGCTTCCTGCAGGAGCAACATTAATCATTAGTCAAGTCACTCTGCAGGTTGTTTGCCTCTGGACTCAGTGACGACGACTGACAAGCTGTCCCCTTATATCTACTGTTTTCCTTAGTGCCTGTCTTATAAATGCAGTTGTGTTTATGTGTGCACGTGTTCTTTGGACACATGCTCTGAAGTACATCCACCATTATAGGTTATTGAAACTCAAGGCTGTAGTCAAAAATGAGTAATGTTTATATGTGACAGATTGATCGGTAATATTAAAACAAAACCAGTAAATTCTAATTAATATTTATCAGGCACCTTGGCTTCCCATATAGACATAAAGTAATTTTTCTACATCAACGTCCGGAATCCTGCAACAACTATCTTGCAAAATATTCAGGAATATATACAGTACAGTGACTCTAGTATGTTTTATATGCTTTTGCACCTGAGAATATATAATAGTTATAAACTAATTGTAGACATTGCTCACAAACTATAGATTAGCAATCCTTTGGCTGTGATGGTTTCAAAGATGTTACGTGACAAAAACAGACTCCATCTCTCCCTGGTCCAGGAGACTGGTTTGGGCTTGCCTTCTGGTCTCCAGAGCCAAAAGTCTAAGGACCCCGGCTGTACACGATGTCTTTCCCTGATTATTGCCTCTTGCTCTTGTCACTCTCTCAGGGCAGAGAGCTGTTTATGACAGATGAGGAGCGGCTGGCAGTGGAGGCCCGCAGGGAGCTGGACAGGCAGGAGCTGATGCAGCAGAAGAGGGTGGCACTGGAGACCAACAAAATCATTAAAGAGCAGCAGGAGAAGGAGAGGCAGTGAGTGAAGAGCACAAAACTTTCATCTTCTTGAAATGAACCCGGTTTTTGTCAGATGGCACAAGAATGACAGTTGTCTTGTTGGGCTTTTGAACAGGAGACAGATGTCTTATTAGATTTAGTATCTGTGTAATGATTTATGGAAGTATCTAATCTTGTAACTAAAGAATTTGGTCTAATTCACTCCAGAAAGATATTGTGACACAACACTGGAATCATACTACGTACTGTGTATATTTTTAGGTTTTCTTACTACCTTTAAAATCAAGGTATTGCAACCCCCCCCCCCTTTAAGCTTAGGCGACCCCTAGTTGCCAAATTGCTTGTTGGGAACCACCAAGGCAATTGAGACTGTATGGAGTGAGCAGCCAAATTATGCTGATGTTCTACCAGAAAATCCTAGAGGGCATAAGATAATAAGCCAAGATATGGAATTACAGCATGGTTTGGCAACCTAACAGTGCAGCTGAAAAGCAGTATTTCTCTGAATACAAACTTCTGCCATCAGGAAGAAGGCGCTTGTGTGCCAAAGTGCAAATCAAACCGACTGAATCTGTCGTTTGTCTATGGCTAACTCTGAAATTGAGATAACTAGCTAGGAAATAGACCTTTTTCATAGCAGCCATTTTGACATAAAACCATATGGTAAACACAGGTGTTAGCAATGATACTAATTAAGGTTCTGTACCATTCAGGTCAAATCCAGTCAGTGTGCTGCTATTATGCATGTTGGCACATTGGAAAAGCTCTGCACTGAATGGAAAAGAACCTTAATTAGTATTATTGGTCTCATGTCAAACTGGCCGCTCTGAAAAGGGTCTATTGGCTGACATTTTGATACACAAATGGTGCCCAGTGTGTGCCCAGTGGGCTTTTTTTAATCTGCTTTCAGCTAGAAGGTTCTGTCTTCCTGATTATTCTGAGAGCGTCGCTGTCTTTGCAGATCTGTTGGGCACAGCTAATTTTCTCTCAGAAACATGCACAACCAACATCTGGGTCCCATAACCACCTTGGAGAATACCAACATGTGGTCAGTCTGAGGCTGAAAGTCATAACCCAATAGCAGAGTGTTGACTGACAGATGATGTTGGAGGAGACTGCTTTTAAAATGTCAGTCAGTGCCAAATAATGTATTTGCAATACCATTTTCTATTTTGCCTTGGCAATCAAACCTCTCCTGTCACCCTGAATTCAAATACCTCAAATGCATGCAGGGTATTTTATGACCACAACGCGAGACAATTTTGAGCAAAGATAATTTCCCTGTCAACCAGGAATATGCTTCACAAACATACATCTGCAGATATCAAGTAAAAACGAAGTAAACAGGAGTTGCAGATATTTTCCATCTGAGGACTTTCACTTATATTGCTCTGTAGGTACATTATTATATAGATTTATCTTCATTTCATTGAATTGTTTGCACAGTGGTTTGATGCCAGCAATATCTGAGGATGAATAATGGGGCTGCATATCATGTGCTGCAGGATTGGCACCCTGAATAGCGCCCATAAACTAGATTAAAGTAATATATAGCATGTTGCGTTATTTTGTATATTTATAATTTAACAGGAGACAGATGGAGATCTCTCAGAAAACTGCAGAGGAAGAGGAGCGCTATAAGAAAGAGATGGAGAAGTATACACTCATTTTTTAAATGTCTATAAATTCCACATTGTCTTAGCATGTATAAAAGATCCTACATCTCTGACTTGTCTTGTCGCTCACTGTAGGATTGAGGCTGTGGAGAGTAAGCACAACAGAGAGTGGGAGGAGGATTGGGGAGCCCAAGACAGGCCCAAGAGTCCTAAGAGCCCCCACACTCCAAAAAGCCGATCACCCGCCCCACCTGAGAAGAAAAACGCCTCCACTGCAAAGGCCAAGAGTTCTCGTAAGGACATGTGAAAGAATCTTCCTGAACTGCATGAATCCTCTATTTATCTCTGAACCTACATATTTATTTTTCCTTTGAAACCATAGAGTTGAGAGTTTTAGTTTCCCTTCTTTATGCATGCCCTCTGTCTCTCTCTCTCTTTCTCTGTCACTTCTGTGTGCCGTGCTGTGCTGTTGTTATGGCCTCTTCTCTAAGCTGATGAAGCCAGCTCCTTCTCAGTGGAAGACGAGGAGGAAGAGCAGGATAGACAAGTGAGTCTGGAGCCTCAGCTGCCATTTCCACAGCTGTTGTAGGAGCGTGTTCGAGCAAACCAGCATACAGTCAGACGGAGTGCTAGATTTCCTTTGACAACCAAAATTGAAACATTAGAGAAAATGTTTTATTATTGCTAAATGCTGTCAGAAAAATGACCCTGGCAACCATTTCCAGCTACTTAAAGATCGTTTTTGCATCAGTTCCAATGCAGTTTGCATCATTTGGTTTTCAAGAAGAATTTGCTGAAATGGAAACGAGCAAAAAAAAAATCTGTCATTTCTCTTTTTGATTGCTGTGTAGTGACTCTACAACTGTTTGGAGTTTGCTGAAACTTTGGGTTTAATTTAACTTGCTTGTGAGATTGACCTGTGTTCATCTCCATCCTTAGCATTTGGCTGGTTTTATCGATATGAGGGAAAACTGCCGTCAATTCACAAGGTACTGTCAGCTGCCTGTGTTCAGTGTGGTGTAAGAGTGGCTACAAAGGAAAGACTGGGACAACTCCTTTATGGTTTTTAACCAGTTCTAATGTCTAATATGGTGGTTACATATTTAAGATCAGAGCTGTGTTCTAAAATGATTTACAAAATTAAAGTTGTTTGCTGAATTTTATTGGTTATAAACAGCATGCTGTGACTAGCTATTTATGCATGTCTTGCTGTGTGGTTTGGAGTGGCACATTTGTCGGTACCCTGCTTTTTATTTTGACTAACTGGTGACACCTCAGAAAGGAGAAAAGAAAAAGAAAAAGAAGAAAATGTCCAACACAGACACCCTGCAGGAGCAGAGAAAGAACAAGAAGGAGATGGAGTTCGAGCTGAAACTCGCCAAGGAGAAAGAAGAGATGCATGAACGAGAGAAGCAACTGAAGATCAATCGGCTGGTTCAGGAGGTACGAAAAGAGGAGTTTACCAGTGTGGAAAGGATTTGTGGATTATAGCAATTGACATATATGTTGTACTTTAAAGGCTGTGCATGTAAACGTGTGTGTATAGATCTAATTCCTATTGTCTGATGCTGCACGGGCGTGGCTCTGTACCAGGTTTCTGAGACAGAAAGAGAAGACCTTGAGGAGTCGGAAAAAGTGCAACACTGGGTGGAGCGTCTTTGTCAGACTCGGTTGGAGCAGATCTCCTGTGTGGAGAACGACTCCCCAGAGGTACAGATTAAGACCTCCTCTGTCTGCACTCAGAGCTCCTCGACAATGTTCTGTCATAGCATTCAGCGTTGATGATGATAGTATTCAACAACAACTCCTCCATCTAGTTGGCGACTGTCTCTGTATAACAACATATTTATGCCTAAAACAGTTAAATGACACGAGGAAGGACAGTTTAGTAGCGCTCAGACATTCAGAAAGCCTTTCTTTCCAGCCATTTGAATTCAGCAAAAGAGGAAGGGTGTGGTTTACACCACTTTATCTGCCATGTTATTGCTTATTTCACTTCGAATGATAAGTTACATGATTTTTATGAGGTGAGGCAATAGTGTGTTGAGATGGAAAATTAGATTTTCACCTGCTCATACCACTAAAATAACTTATTTTCCAGCAAGAACATACAATACATACAAGGGAGACACCAGAGTGACACAAACATAAATGTTCGAGTCTAAATAGTTAAATACCACAAAAAACATTTTGGCTACAAAAAATAAAAGAAGAAGCAAGAAAGAGACATTAGTCTGCAGGTATTTTTTCATCTTCTTGTGCGTCATTGTTACCCAGCGCCTGCAAAGAATTTATCGATGTGTTTTTGCCTCCTGATGATTACCTGCATTGTTAAATATATCAAAAGGAGAACTGAGGTGAAATGAGTCATTTTTCATGTGGTTGTGACTTAAAGCTCTCCCCGCCGCGCTCTCCTGCCACCGAGCCCAGGGTGAAGCGTTTCGCCGGCGGCCTCCACCTGGCCACCACTGACCTGGACGACATAAACCTGGATGACGTGGATCAGAGCCTGCGGGGCCCTATGAAGAGACTGGCCCCCACTCAGCCCAGCACTAGCCAACCTCCCCCTCCCTTGCCCCTCCCTCCACCCTCACCCAAGCTGAACCCTACAATACCCAACTACTCCCCTCCGTCCCCTCGAGCATCCCCACAGCGACGGCCTCCTTCTCCACCCAGCACTAGAAAACCTCCCTCTGCCCCATCTACTGTGACCAACAAGGGGCGGCGGCCTCACCCACAGCCTCATCCTCATCCTCCCCAACCCCCTC